GGGGATGTCATTCATATTTTCCCCAGACATGTAAAATACAGTCCACCCCCTGTAAATTTTTCGGAGAAGGTTTATAAACCCTTTATAGTTCCCCCCCCCCCCCCCCCCATCCCACCAATACAGTTTTGTCAAAGTTTTAGATATGGCACTTGGGTACCCATTTTTGGGTACCTGTTACACCCCCCAGCACCTGCTGGCAGGTTTGGGGTGTCCAAATTGAGTGGAAGTTCAGGCAGGTACCTGGCCATAAATAGTAGCCAAAACAGCCATTATGTGACTGTTTTTAACTGTTGATGGGTACCTGTAACCAGCCAGCAAGTACCTGCCAGGGCAAACAGGTACCCACCAGCCGGTGATATGTGCAGGTGCGGGTGTCCAAATTGAGTGGAGTTTTAGGAAGGTACCCACAGGTACCCAGGTGCAAAGTGCCATCTCTTAAAAGTTTGGCATGGTCCCTGTATTTTGACCTTGTTAAAATTCATTTGTTCTCTTGCAGTTGATGTGAGATGGTTTATCAAAAATTCAAAGAAACAGATGAAACATTGAAAAACATATACACCATGATCCACCCAAAGATTCAAATTACTGTATGGCTTTTAGATTAGTAGACTTGCTAGATTGAAATCTGTCATGCTGAGAATGCCATTGGCCCTTCGTATGTGTATGCACATGGCTTGTCAATCCATAAGTGTGTGTCCAGAGATGGAGAGGCCAAACTGAAAACAGAGTTTTGACTTGTCTGATTTGGATTCAATCATTAACCTTGGACACTTTTTCCCCTTGTATTCAAATTTTTAAAGCTATAAAATTTAAATGGAGACCAAATTTTGCAACAAAGTTGATGTCCTAATATATTCCTTTTGTGTTTTTTTTTATCTTTTTCCCCCTTCCTCTTTCCTTACTCTGAGAAATTGTGTATGTTCTTTTGAGTCTGGAAATTATTTCTGATGCTTTGACATTTGATTCATAGTGCCTGAGCATCTTATACAGAGAGTGCTCCACAAAGGGTCCCCTAGAGCCTTCATTTGACTGGATTAATTATTAAGATATTAGATGATTAATTAAACACCTTTTATAAGGCTTGAGCTATGTTGTTTCTCATGGAATTAATTTTAGGCTGTTTTCCAAAAATGTATGAAAGATAAATATTGGTGACAATTGAACAAACAATCAGATACTTTCAAAAACACCTGCTGAGCTATAAGATTGAACCCAGTAATTGAAAAACAGCCCCTATCCAGCCAAGTTTTGTATTTGAATGGCCTATGAATTTAATCCCAGACTAGGCAAATCACAAGATGTGGCTTGTTTTGTGTTTCTCTGTGTTCATCCATCCATTCATTTAGGCTATCTCTTAGGCTATAGCATATGCCTCTCCACATTGCATTACAAGATCAAGAAGTAAGCTTCTCATGTTGAAAACTGTTACAGGACATAACACTCATTATGAAGGAATTCTCCCTGGTGACCTCATACAGCTTCACCACCATGCAATGAATGGACTTGCAGGAGACTGATTTTTTTTTGGCAAGTGTGATGACAATGTGCAATAAGCAGTTTCAGGAAGGTTAATGAGGCAATGCCACCACTACCTCCTTCTTGGACCAATAAATATTTTGTAGTTCAAGCTGGAGTAAAGTTAAAGTGGTCAAATTGATAAATTATGCCTATGAAAGATCATTTGACTGTCAAAGGCTCATGTTTGTGTTTAATTTGTCTGGAATCATCCATAACAGATTGTCCAAATTGCAGTTATTGTAGCTGTTTCCACAACTTGTTTTTATTTATCTTTTAAAGACGGATGTGCTATAGCAACAGAAAAGGAGGTCTTATCCGAACAAGATCTGCAT